CAGTGTGTTTTGTGGACGCTCGACGGTCTCGGGTCCACAAAACACACTGTTTCCCTCGGTCTCAGTAAATAAGTGATTATATTCAGTAGCATTTACAAGCATTTGTTTGCCATTGTAAGGGTCGCCCTTGTAGGCCCCTCCCTGAAAAATACAAGCAGAACTTCAAGTTGTATTCTTCAGGTAGTTGTATCTCATTTCGCAACTGTCTAGACTGAATTTAAATTGACCATATTAAGGCTACGTTTTCTCTGTACCGGATAAGACCTACTTTGGGGGCCAAGGTCGCTGTTATTATGTGCAACATTGTGCATCATTAAGCGACATTGGCAATTTTCAAAGGAAAGTAGTATGCGTCGCTGGGCGACATTAGGCGACCTTGGCCCCCAAGTTAGACCTTGGATAGCTTTCCGTAGCGACGTGAAAAAACACCTATTTGTACCTTTAGGAGCGTTATTTTAGACGAACTGTTGCAACGGAGAGATGTTGTTTCGTTCAGCTTCTGAAAGTTGAACATTCCGTATTGGATAGGTGCTTTTCACGTCGCTACGGAAAACTATCCGGTATTATCCGGTATAGTGTAAACGTAGCCTAAGTTTCAGTTCATCGACTAGGCCTCTCTCCTCCGCAGAAGCTTAGATAAAGTTTCTAGTGAGGGAAAAGTGAGCGCGCAAGTAGTGATGGGAAGAGCTGAATAAAGGAAGCCTCTGCGAGTTAATGCAATCGATATGGCGTCGTATATAATCGTTTGTAGCGAAGTTCGATCAACCATCGAGGGTGTTAAAACATGTTTTCGACTTTCATTTTCAGGCGTACTTGAGTATCCTGGGGTGAATTCAATATCAATATCTTCTTCTGTCCATTTGCATCGAAAAATATTGAGAAATTGCAAACGAATATCAATGGATACGAGCTATCTGATTATAAATATCCTCTTAATTGCAACATTTCTTTATAAAAATGACTCTATTGAACTTCGATACTCAGATTATGAAGATTTATTTCAATTTCTTTCACATTTCCGTCGATTTCAAGTTTAAAAAAAGGTCAAACAACTAGTTTGGTTCAAAAACCATACTTCGTCGAATTATCTGGCAGAGCCTCCCCAACTTCATTTCAATCTTCCCATCACACCGTGCGCGCTCACTTTTATTCGGGAAACTTCATGTAAGTTATTTGTAAATACTTAAGGAGGCTCTTCGGAGGAGAGAGTCAACTAGGCTGTTCCACACCCTAGTTGTTCTAACTAAAAACGAGCGTTGATGCTTGTAAGAATAGTTTTCGATAACTAATTATTTTTGTTTTATTCGTTTAACAGGATACCTAGAAAGGTATAAAAAGTTTAAAGATGGAAAACTAATTTGTCAACATTTGAAGATGTGTATTGAAGAAGGCAATGTGTCTATAAAGTTTCTTGAAGAAATCAAGAATAATACTGAGAAAGTGACAATGTTATGCGCTGGTGTAACGAATTATACGTCAACATTCTCTGCCGACAGGTTCAAGAAAGGTATGGTGGATCGAATTTCAGAATTGACAAATATCGTACAGGATTGTTCCGAGAAGTTTATGTTGCTAGGATCCATGATGGACTATGGTAGAAAGATATCAGATGATATTCACTCTATTCAGGGATTTCAAACGCTCATTGAGGCGTTCAATGAACGAAACAAAAGTTGGTGCACGAAAAGAGTGAATGAATTACAAGATGATGCATTTTGGGGACCATTGTCTCCTCTCATACGTCCAGCAAAGACACTTCAACCATTGATGAATTCTTTGTCTTTTATGACCGTGGCCAAAAAAGGTTTGGAAGAAAGTGGCTCAGATGAAAGTGAAAACGCAACACCAAGAGATTTCTATTCATTGATACACTTTCTTACAAACAATGCTATTAAAGAACTTCATTCGCAGTGGAATCCGGTGTTGAAAGATCCAGGGTCGCTCAGTGTGGAAACCATGAAGACTTTACTTGGTACTTTGAAGAATCAAAACAGACTTGATGAAGAACTCGAACTGTTAGAAAAATACTTTCAACGACCGTTTTCTCCTAATGTTAAAATTTATATCGAAGATTATGTGAAGTATCCTAATGTCTTGGAACAAGTACGACATGTCATTGGCATTCTTGATATATTTGGATTGGCGGATCCCACAAACGAAACGATGTCAGTTCTTTTACAGTTTGAAACGATGTTAGATAATATTAACGAACGAACTCTCGCAGCATTACATCAGGTAATGGAGGACGTGACAGGAATAGTTTCAGCTTTTTCCGGTGAAGACTTAGATTGTGTGATAGAGGAGCTTTCGAGATCTAGCGCATTGCTTGGTTTCATGGAAGAAATTGTTGACGAAGACATTCGTTTTCTTATCGATGCCGTTGAAGAACATTCAGATCAGTTTGTGTCCGAGTCATCAGTTTCCGATCTTATTGACGTTCATGGATTTTTGGCACCTTTGATTAAGAGGAAAAATCAGAAGAACTGTAATGCACAGGACCTTCTGAAGATGTTAAAAAAGTCTTGTCTTAGTCATAAAGATATAGCATCAAAGATTAAGCAGTCCAGTACGAATGTGAACAGTCTTCGCGGATTGTACACGAGTATTGCAAACCGTGGTGAAATTACCAAAGAAATTATCAGTAATTGTCTGAGCAAGGGAGTTTATGTTGTATCGCTAAACGATGGAACGTGTGAAGCCAGTATGAGTTACCACTTAACGGGAAACAGCGATAGCAAAGGAACATCATGCAATTACTCTCTGTCAGATCTCCATGATCTGCGAAGTCGTGCGCATCTGATTGTTAGCTCACATAAGAATGCTTTCAAGGTCACCTCCAGCCATTCAAAAGAAAGTAGCGAGGACATTGATTTTGATGAATTCATAAATCAAGTTAATCTCTTGACTGAAATTTCTATTTTGCTCTCAAAACTGCGATTCTCAGGATATGTTAAATATCGAGGTTTTTGGACAAAGATGAGAAGCACCAAGGATCTTCGGAATAAGCGGGACAGTCTACAGCAAGATTTAGAAACCTGGGAAAGTATTTTGTCAAAAGCACGGGCGGACTGCTATTTTCTCAATTATTATCGCTCTGATCAACTTTGTGTGTTGTACGATTTTCTTATTAACAAATCCAACGTTAATTGCGAATTGGAGGTTTTATCCCTAATTCACTTTGTGGACAGAACTATCACTAAACAGCAATTAGAACAGCACCAAAATTCCCATTCAGACAACAATCCGTCTTTATTTCTATCGACTATTGGTCAAGCTCTAGAAAATATCTTTATTAATTTACAACGTGTTGTTAGAAGGATTCCTGATGATGGTCAGAGCCGGTCATACGTTAAACTGGAGGCTACAGTTACGTCGGGGGAAATTTTTATAGCTACATTGGAACCAGACAGTTCATTGACGGCTAACGTTATTCTAACGTTGTTCGAGAACACGTCAAATGCATATCCAGAACCGTACCAAATTGTTTTTTGCAGTTCCCAAACAACATGGGAAGAAATTCATCTTCTACTCCAACGATGTTTTGCAAAGTCAAAAAACATCGATTACAGCAGCTTGTTTTGCATTGCAAATGTTGAATTACTACCAAATGAACTTCAGTTTAAATTGGTTGATGCGATCAAAGAGAAGCAGAAATGCTACCAAAGTTCTAAAGATGTTAAACAATGTGCTGATTATCAACTTGCTTTAATTTGCCGTGGTGGTGAACACCACCACATTGTCGAAGAGTTTGCGCAATATTCGCACCACATTGCGGGTATGATGGATCACGTCCTGACAGATCGTCTAAAATCTGGTTGGCCTGATGTCAAAATGATCACATCCACTCTTCCTGGTCTTGGTAAAACAGAATATATAAAACGTGAGGCACAAGAGAAAGATTTAAACATCGTTACATTTTCAATTAGCGGCCCATTTGAGCCCAGCAGACTCGTACAGCGATTAAAGAAGCTCCATCTTAAGAAATATCATTGTTTACATCTTGCCATTGGCGACGTCAGTAATCCATTGTTGTTGGATACATTCTTATTCCAACTTATTGTGACGGGAATGATTTCTGCGGGAATGCAATTTTATCACCTTCCAACAACTCATGTCTACATTGAAATAGCAAATACGCTGAATGATGCGCTTCGGGAGTCATTGGTGGTGTCAAAGTATTTCACCCGTATTCACTTGGAGTGGCAGAATTACTCTAACCTTCTGGTCAGCCCAGAAATCACAAGTAATGTGCAAGTTGTTTGCCAGTATTTAGATATTTTTGATCGCGCTTGCATCGAGTCCAACGAAGTTCATTTCAGTGGACCAGAGAAAACAAAACCATTGTCAGCGTTTCGTTGTCAAGAGCTACTAGCTCGGTATTTTTCGTCCGATGCTGATATCACGTTCACCGTGTTAAACACTTTCCTAGGAGTCCTTGCTGACCAGTTTTTGAAGTTTTCCAAGAGTACTTTCTTCAGGATTGCCCGTCTAAAATCTATGTTGGGGGAAGAAGCCAAAAATGTTCGGACTAATCTTTTTCGTGCACTTCTGGAAGTATCAAAAGAGTTTGCATCCCGTGCCATAACAACAAAAACAGTCAGTTCAAGAGATGTACAAAAACTTTCTCAAGAAGAGTCTGTGAAGGCTTTCGACAAAGCATTGGCTTCAACTGTTACATGTGCTGAAAATATGGTGAAACGAGTGGAAGGGATGATACAGTGGGAAGACAGCAACCACTTGTTGGTTGTGTTCCATGGTCTCAACTCGCAAGCGATCACGGCGGTTTATCGGAACAAAAGTGGTGTTCCTCTTAGTGTTGAAAAATTACTAAAGAGCCAAGAAGTGAAAGGAAATAAGGAACTCGAGGACTTTAAGGTTTTAACTCAGGAGCAACTACAAGAGAAGATAGAAAAGATAGCTTGCATGAAACTGACTGAAAAGAAGAACATGTTTTCAACATACGCGTTGACTCCAGATAACATCCTGAAGATGATATTGATCATATTACGAGTCCGTGCAAATATTCCAGTTATCATCATGGGCGAGACAGGCTGTGGTAAAACCAGTCTTGTTCGCTACCTGGCGAACATGTGTGGAATAAAATTCTTTATATTCAATTTCCACGCCGGAATTTCCGAAGACAAGATTATCGAGTTCATCGCAGAAAGGGAAAAGGATTCTAGAGGTATTGGTGATCAAATATGGATTTTCCTGGATGAGATAAACACCTGTGATCATCTAGGTTTGATAGGTGGTCTCATGTGTCATCATTCCTTGCTGGGACGACCATTATCAAAAAATCTTGTCTTCCTTGCTGCTTGTAACCCATACAAGCTACGCCCTGAAGAACATATCAAGACAGCAGGCCTCGAAGGCAAGAATATCACTGATGAATACTCCGGACTTGTTTATCGTGTCCACCCGCTACCTGAAGCTATGATTGACTACGTTTGGGATTATGGTTTCTTAGCTGAAAAGGATGAACGGGACTATATTCAGAGGATGGTGAGTGTTTTGCCAAAAGAACATGAACATGTGTTGGTTGATGTGCTTGCTGCTTCTCAAAAGTTTATTCGGGAAGCGGAGAAGAATCATTTTTGCGTCAGCCTACGTGATGTGCATCGCTGCATTCTATTGGTGAACTGGTTTCAGGAAATGCATAAGAAACGCAAAGAGTTGAAATGTGACAAAGATTTCACGAGCCACCACCTTTGGGAGAACTGTTGTATGTCAGAACGCTACAATGAGAAGCCGATGATTAAGAGTATCGTTCTTGCCCTTGCACATTGCTATCTGTCCAGATTACCCACGGCAAAGTTGCGACAGGATTACCGAGAACAGATGATGAAATTGTTCGGTAAAAATGGAACCATGATGAACAAGAGTGGAAGCGTCGATAGTTTCTCGGCCATCGTACGTATGGAAGAAGAAGACTATTTGCATCGAATGGAACTTCCACCCGGCACGGCAAAAAATGCTGCTCTTCGCGAGAATGTCTTTGTTATGCTAGTTAGCATCTTGAATCGTATCCCCGTTTTTGTTGTTGGAAAGCCCGGTTGCAGTAAATCTTTATCTATTCAGTTAATCCGAAGCAATCTACGTGGGCGAGATTCGCGGGATTCCCTGTTCAGAAAGTTGCCACAACTTTATGTCGTCTCGTATCAAGGTTCAGAATCGTCCACTTCAGAAGGAATCATCAAAGTGTTTGATAAAGCACGCAAATATAAATCCCACAACAAAGATGGAAATGTCTTGCCTGTTGTTTTGCTAGATGAAGTTGGATTGGCTGAGAATTCTAAATACAACCCTCTCAAAGTTCTACACAGCTTATTGGAACCTGGAGAAGGAGAACTACCCGATGTCGCAGTTGTGGGCATTTCAAATTGGTCATTAGATGCCGCCAAGATGAACAGAGCAATTCATCTGTCCAGACCAGAACCAACCAAAGACGATTTATACGAGACTGGGCATTCACTACATTATGCTGATGATGGAGATAACAGACAGTACTTAGGAAGGAGAGAGCTTCAGTGTTTGGCTGAAGGCTATTTTGAATACCAGGCTCAACAAAGTCACGCCAATTTCCATGGTCTTCGCGATTACTACTCTCTTATTAAGAGCTTGACCGGTTGCAGCAACTTTGAACAAGTCAATATTTCATTACAGCGTAATTTTGGTGGTCTTCTTGGTGAAGTGACCAACATTCAAAAGATTTTCCTTGACAAGTTAAAGAAGCTTATGGCATCTAGCGGGCAAGATATTATCCCAGTCACCAGACTGATTCAAGAGAATCTTGCAGACCCTCATGCTCGTCACCTGATGCTCATAACAACTGGAGATTCTGCCATTGGTATTTTAAAACAAAGTCTGGCTCAGCTAGAGAAGGAAACCATCACAATCTATGGCAGTCATTTTGAAGAAGATCTGTCCGAAGAGTATAATTACAGAATCCTGAGTCGTATAATTCTCTGCATGGAGCGGGATTGTGTCCTGATATTAAGAGATCTGGAAAGAATCTATGGAAGTCTGTATGATATGTTAAACCAGAATTACGCCGTGGTCGGTAACAGGAAAAATTGTCGTGTGGCCCTTGGAGCTTATAGCAACCCTATGTGCCAAGTGAACGACGGATTTCGATGTATTGTTCTCATTGATCAAAACAAAGTGGACTTTTCTGATCCACCATTCCTCAACAGGTTTGAAAAGCAACTCTTGGGCTTTTCTGATGTGGTGACCGAAGACCAACAGAATGTTATCACCGAGCTTCGCGATTGGGTTAAAGAAATGTCCACGGTAGAAGGTTTAGAATCACATTTTAATGAATCAGATATGTTTATTGGTTTCCATGAAGACACCCTCCCATCACTGGTTTTGTCACATGCCCAAGTCCAGGATAGTTCACCAGAAGATGTTTTCAAAAAGTGTAAAGATGACTTGATGTGGATTGCCTCCCCCGATGGTGTGCTTCGGACGCGGAAGTGCAACCTTTTGCGAGTAGATTCTCACGAGGTGCAGGAATTAAGTAATGAATACTTCAAGAAACCACTTCACCAAGGTTTTGCTGCTTTCATGGAACACGTTTTGAACAACCATCAGAAAATCTCTTTCTTTGCTGGTGATGAGATTGGATCTAAAACAATCGTCATGACATTTTCCAACATTCACACAGACATTCGTCAGTGTTTGGGCAACGGTTTCCGAAGTCAAGTTGAAAGGCTGAGTGCCTATAAATCGGAGAAGCAGCTAGCTGAAAGAATTGATGATTTCTGGAATGCACCAGAAAGAGAACTGTTAGTTTTGCAGTGTAAACCCGAGTTAGATGGCACACATTTACTACTCGCCCGTTCAATCATTGAAGAAAAGCGAAATTCTTACAAGCAGTGTTCATCTGAGATGGAAGCACAAGGATGCAAGCATGTTTGTATCGTAGTTCACGTGCAACGTGGAGAAGCCACTGGTACATGGCAGTTTAGTTTCTTGTGTGGTTGGAGACAAGTATTCCTTGATGTCCTCGAAGCTCCTCTAGTTCCACTGAATGAAGTACTTGGTGAAAGTGTCCAGAAGCTTCTCACTTCTTCTATCTGGCCCATTAGCAGGATTGCACAAAATGATCTCTTATGGTGCTTCACCTGCATCAAATATACCCGAAGCCAACGACCTTTTGATGCTGTTTTGCGCATCGCCAAGAATCTTTTCAATTCAGAAGAAGTTTCGCGAGTCATCGAGGAACTCATCTTACAGTCGATTGACTTGAATGCCTTTGAACAGACTCATGATTTTAAAGAAAGTTGGCAAGTAAGGGTTGCTTGCGATCGGCAATCATTGATCAATTCGGCTACTCTTTACTGTGCAATGGAGCAATTCGTCTCTCTTTTAGTCCGAACCCCACTCGCTAAAATTGTTTATTTCTTAGAAAAAGAAAACGCCTGGCCGCCTCACCTAGTCATTTATTCTGAAGAGAAAATTTCCAAATTCGAATCCCTGTGGCGTAAATTTATTTTGAACGAGGCTGTCTTCAAGATTTCAGAAATTCCCGAGCCACGTGGAGCTGAATCGTATGTTCTTGAGAGCGCGAGCCTTGATCTTTGCCTGCCTTATAGTCAAGTTGTTATCAGAAAAGTTGACGACGTCAAGGAACTGTTTTTAGAAGAGTATGCAACACTCGTAGAAAATGAAGATAATTTGGACGGAAATGGTCAATTAATGCAGAGCATCCGAATAGAACAACTGAAGAGGTTCTCCGAGATAATCTCAAACTTGGTCCCAGAACTTCACTGCTTTACATTCATCTGTTATGATTCATATATGAAAGATCTTTTTGATATAACGACTGCCGATAGTTCAAAATTAAGTCGTTCTGAGCGAGTTTCCATAGCACAAGCCGTTTTTGTATCCGAAATCAAGCGAAATCTGCCAGCAAAAAATATGACTGAGTTTTTCGCACTGCTTCATACCTTTGTATGGATTTATCGAGAACGGATTCTTAGTTTGCTGAGAATGGTTGATTGCTGTCAGTCATTTATATCATGCGAAGTTCTGTCAAGTGTAACAGATGCTATCTGCTCAGAAGAGGTTGTGTTTGTAAAAAATGAAGAAGAAGATACATGTGATACAGTTGAAAGCAAAGAACTTGGTGTATCGATAATGCATGATAGCGAAAACGAAAGTGAAGACTTTGGCAGTCAAGAGCGGGAGACAAAACAACTTACCGCAACTGAAAACGAGAATGTACCGGAAACGACGATAAATCTTGTGACTCAACCCGAGACGCATAAAACCGAAACCAACGTTGCTGATATGGAGCTTGAATGTCGTGCACCATTGGAAAATGTCCAGAAGAACGTGGAAGAAGTCATTAACAACGAAACAGAGATCGATGGACTTGGAGTAAGTTTTGGAGACATTTTGGTTACGGCGTACTCTGAGGAAATGTTTCCTTCGCGAGAAGTTGTCCAGGAGACAAATGGTGGCCTTGAATCATGGATGCGAAATGCAAAATTACTTATTTCTTTGGCGTTTAATATTAACGAAGATTCACCTGCATTCCATTACCTACGTTTGTGTGTTGATTTCTCACAAATTATCTTTGCCTCAAACACTTTACCATCACATCTATCTTCATTGTATATTTTAAGCGAAATTGGTAACGATCTTAAACCAGAATATTTAGATCATGATGAGTCGTTTCAAATGATAACGGAACAGTTAATTACACCTTTGATAGAAGCAATGAGAGATCACACGGATAAACAGCAAGCTCTGCAGAAGTTCTTAGCTTTGTTTTATGGTCGTTGTATTGACACAAATGTTGATACCAGTAGCGCCCGTCTGATTGTCGAACACGTGCTATCTTTGGAGCGACCAGAACTAGTAATGATGATGAACCCTATTATCTTACGGCTACTCGTGGTTGAAGAAGAGCAATCACCTGGAATATTCGTGGACATAATCACCAATCCAAGTGTTATCGAGAACTGTCCTTGCCTTCAAAATATTGATGAAGTATTCAAAGATTGTTTCTCGAATGGTTTGATACATCATGACTCGTATCCCGCAGTAATGATTTGTGATCTAATTCAATCTTTGTTAAATTTCGAGGACAAGTTCAGTATTGACGACATCGACAGTTCTGATTGCCGAGTTCTCCTGCTTGCTAAATCTGCCAAAACACTGCTGTCACAGAGGGACGAAGAGAGCTGTGGTCTAACCGTACTTTCAGCGGTCGCATTTCTACGAGGATTTTTCACAACGTTAGCACAATCTATTGCTGGAAATCTCAATTTTCTGAACGGAGAAAATCCACCAGACCCTGTTATGATAGAAGTCAACTCGTTACTAAATGATCCAAGATCATCGCTTAAACCTTTTTTCTTGAAACAACTCTCGCGATATGCAAATCTATATGATGTACAGAAGTGGTGTGTTGGAAATAAAGTTCTTCCCACAATCGAGGAACTATGGCGCAACGAGAAAAGCGAAGCAGACAAAGTGGTGTTTACATCTGTATTTAAATTTCCCGAGTATAACGAAGCGAAAGCAGCCTATTGGAAACTGACTTCTAACGAAGAATCAACTATGAAAGAGTTTTTGACAAAATGCCTCGGTTCTCCAAATCACGCATATGCCCTTTTTGGAATCCTTGTAAACATGGTCTTCTTGAAACGTGCTGTGCGAAAGCTCACTGATAAAGACGAACAACTAGTTAATTGGTTTGTCGAGAAAATTACATCTCTTCCGTGGTTTTATCAAGAACTTTTGTTGCGAGTCCTAGGCCGTTGTGATTTCCACTGTCCACAACTACAGCTATCACCTGAATCATCAGTAGAAGACGTGGAAATTGCGTTATTAATACTTCACATTGCCTGCGTTGTCGCTACAAGTGCTCTGAAGGAACACTTGCCAATCTACCGGTACTTTACGAATCCCCTTACATCCCAGCATCCTTGTGTTCTAGCTCATTGTGACGAGGAATTACATTCTGTGTTTGAATTCCTACCATCCATAAAGGGATCACTTCCTGTCACGTGTACATGTGGTTTAAGACTGGCTTTTAAAGATGCTAACAATGTATGTCCACATTGTCATCAAGACTTGAGTAACGAAATCATAAGCAACATATCCTCAGAGACGACTGACAAGCTGTCAAGGTCCGTCAAGGCTGTTACTAGAGTTGAATTGGATACCTGCGCGAAGCACATGAGCCCAGCCGTCTATCGTGCATTACGTGTTATTGTGTATTCATCTTACTACGCTGGAATTGCTCTTGGGACGTCATCGGATGGCAAACTATCTGCTGTTCTGAATACGTTATGTGGAAATGGCACCGAATGCTCCAACCCTGCAGATTTGTGTTTTGAAAATGTTGAAACTGATCTGTCGCATTTAAAGGACATTCTATGTTGCAAGAAAGATATTGCTATCAAAGTCATGCATTTAGTGATTGAGAAGAGTTCAGATCTTATCAGAAGAGGCGACCAACTACAAGGAAACAGCTCTTCAACACAAAGGATGCGTCGAGAATGGGAAACAACGTTTTCAAAGCTTACAGAACCGGTGTTTTCAAACGCGCGTAAATCGTCCAAAGAATTGAAAGAAATGACAAAACTACAGCAGACGGAAGTTCATTCAGATAATATTTCCATTGAAAGTTGTATTTTGGAACTTGATGATTATCCTCCAGAATCAGGAGAGCAAAAACAGCCACTAAAAAGATTATACCGCCTGACAAAGCAACCAAGTTTTGAAGATTTCCGTTCAGTATTTCTGTATTCTCGTAGTGAAGTTCAAGTAAAGCACAGATTCTTGACGTTGTTCTTTGCAAAATTTGATCAACTTCCAATCATTGGCAACCTCCATCACCTCTTGAAATGGTCTCGTCTAGTATCATCAGCATTAACCCACCGTATTAGTAGAAAAGATGCGGAGTCTAAGTCCATCAATGATTTTATAAGTGGTCATCTTCTAGAATTACGCCGAAGTCAAAAGCAGGTCGAGACTTTGAAGGAATTGTTCAACAACTTCAAAGGAGCATGGAACGACATGCGACATCTTGTAAATCAGGAGCTCATGGATAAAGATATCGAGGAGATGCCGCGACTAAGAGAGACTGATTATGTAGCTTACTGCCTAACGGAAAGTGATAATGGTATCTACCTTCTAACGGCTATTAGAATCCTTGTATCGTCTCAGAATTTGATCTTGGACGAAATAATTTCGCTTTCATCTTTACATCAGTATCCAGCTCTAAGCTTCCTTGAAAAAGACAACAGCAGTGGTGTTATGGCAATCTCAATTCAACAAGTTAAAGAAAAAGAAATCATCAGTTTCCAATGGTCAGACGATTTGTTTAAATACGCACAAAACAATCTTGAATATGGTAAAGGCGAAGAAATCGTGTACGATTTTGAGCGTATTGAAAAAGAGCTTGCTACTAAAGTCGGGTTTGGAAAATGTTACTTGACTGAAACACTAAACAAGTTCATATTCGCAAAGGAACTGTTCCATTCCTGTGGTCCCTTGTTGACAGAGATTCGATCACTAATGACACGAAATGCAAGCTTGCCTGAGGAGGTACGTAAAGGTTTGTTCAAACTGAAAGAACGGAGGATCAAAGAAGCTCAAGATCTTCTTCAACATATCGAAGTACTCATCTTCCTTCTTAAACCGCAACTGAAGAATTTCGACGTGAATATGACCTTGGAAGAACTCGTTGAAAAGTGGTTATCGATGTTACCCAGTCCCTTTCCAGTCACACTGTTGCCACAACCTAGAAGTTCCATCAAGATTAAACACATTGCTGCACTTTACGAAGCTCTTGAAGATGTCCTGGCTGATGGCGCTATCGAAGGACTTGCTGACAGATTTAGTATCAAGTTAACAATGGACATGACAGAGAAACTAAACGCTGTTGTAAACAAAGAAATTGATCAGTTGAAACCCCACAACTTTTTGAAAGCACTGCGTCGTTTTGTGTTCCGATATCTTTCGTCTGAAACTGAAAGATACTGGCCTGAGGAAAGTACATCATTACAGTCCTGCTTGAAGGAACCTTCACTGTGGTCTCCATTTCAGCCACCAAACTTACATGAGATTCCGCCAGAAATTTCAATTCAATATATTCACTGGCTTGTCAAGTTTCTTGAAGACTTGGACCAAGTAAGATTTTTGCTTTAAAAAACATACTAGGTAATTAGATGATAACGACTGTAGTTACGAGTGTAGTACGCAGGGTGTGATAATTTTCGTACTGGAGGTTTACCAATAGCGAGGTTTAGATTTGACGTCCGCTACCACTACCTCTAACTGACTTAGTACGCATCTGATTGGTTAATCGAATATATCAAACGCATCTCTCTTAATGGTACCGGTAGTGGAAGTCAAATCTGAACCTCTCTAATAAATATTACGGTCTGGTACTTCTTTGTTTTTAACCAAGTACCACGTAGGTACGCGAACTGTTGGTATCTACGTACTTACATTTTGCTGGTACCATTCGAGCTTACCAAGCCCAAGGTATTCATAACTCGTAGTTTCATGGTTACTGAATGAATGCCTTTCAGAAACCTGTACTTTATATACTTCACTTTAAAGACTGAGTACACAGTGAGTCTTAAATGTGTACCAGCTCGCGTGCGCTGCAATAATCATTGGGGTACCAGTCTGGTACGACTAAACTTCTTGAATTATCGCAACCTGTAATAAAACCTATAACTTCTCCTACAGACGATTAGAGGCAATTAAATTAATTATACTAAATCATTCTTGTCTTCACTCTCCCTGGTACAATTGTTTTGTCTGAAAAGAGCACTTGGAGGAAAACTTGAGGATTTGCCCCTGGAGTCAATTGTATAAATGGCGCAAATGTAATTTGTATTGGTAATAGGATAATTTCGAGTGGAATTTGGAGAAAAAACATGCACACGTGAATATATATCAAAATTGCACGAGTGCGAAAGACGAGTGCAATTTGAAGTCTTTTAAAAACTCACGAGTGTATGCTTTTTCAAATTGCAACATGAAAAGTTATGCAGTCACGTGCATATAAGTCACATTTAGAAATTAGGAAATCAGTAAGAAAATTAAGAAATTTGAAAAATAAAAAAATTAAGAAATTTGCACTGTATTTCTTTTTTTGCACCGTATTTCATTTTTTGGCACTGTATTTCGAAAAAAATATTATTACGTATATTATTAGAAATGAAATAGAATGATAGCATCATAATATCGTATACCCTTTGCTAGCAACCTGTTCTATGATGCCAAATTTAATGAAGATAATTTTCTTCCGTGTTTACAGGAGAAGAAAGTTCCTGTAAGAAGACCAGGGGTTGGAAGTCTTCCTCGACACACTCAAAAAAATAAACAACCAGGTGGACGCCGAACTTCAAGATTCTGTTATGCATAACCAGTTCATTAACATTTTAGTATCTAGTGTTCAAACTCTAGAACAATTTTGACCTTGTTTTCACATAGGAATGGCATGATTATTGATGACCAAATTATATTATGTAAGATTAATTAAAAAATCATTAATAATTCAGGACAAAACACAAAGAAAAATCATAAGCGTGTCGTGGTTTTATATGTGATAAAAAATCACGTTAATTTACATAAACGTTAGCTTTGATTTTCTCGGTTTAGACAAAGTTTATTTTAAAAATTACTTTACCACTGAACTCGTATAAGATGAGTCGTTTTTTAAGCTATTTAAAGCACTTGTAGTCGTGTTTTATCACATATAAAACACTCCGCTACGCGTCATGTTTAGCTAGGTGACTAGTCCCAGCCCATACATATTTAGGGCGATTTCAAGTTTTGAAAGTAGTATGTTTATAATTACATGTGCCAGTAGCTTGATTATAGTGAAGATTTTGTTAATTTCTAGTGTCTGGACCTATAGCTTGATAATGAACTCTTGATTTTCATATTATCTGCTGATGATTAAATTTATTCGTCTCAAACAAAAATATATTAACACTTGAAACTATAATAAATGAGGAATTAGTTAGGCCGCGTTTACACTATAACGCTACGGCTAACATTACGTTAGAAATTTACTACGTTTCTAGTATTGAGACTATATTGTGTTTACACTATAACGAAGTGGTTTACCGTACAGTACTAACTACGGACCACTACATTCGCCACTCTGAATACAAATCAATATCGTTAAAAATTCACTAGGTTTAGAATTTTGTTTACACTAGCTGTAGCCTGTTTTCCACTTCAACCGTATCGTACCATAGGCATAGTATTTTCTTTTGTGTCGAAGTCATTAGTTCCACACTAGTGGTCAGGAAACAAAGAAATTCGCTACGTTTCGGACCTTTCCATACGATACGATTAAAGTGGAAAACTGGCTAAAAGCCATTATAATGGAGTGGTTTGACGTAGCCTATCAACTACGGACCACTACGTTTGGCACTCCGGTCTGATAACAATAAACAGACTGCTCAATCTGCACATGAAAAAGTAGTCATTAACATGCCGAGTCCAGAATATAAATTACCAACTAAAGTAACTAACAATGCGGATAAAAGCAATCAAAATGAGGGTGTGACTTTAAACTCACAAAAATCCCGTGTGGAATCAAATAAGTCTGTTGTTGATCTTAGTCATTTGGTAAACAGCGAAAATTTGAATAATTATTCTAATATATCAAACACAAAGGGGAATACTTTATTAAATAACCATAATAGTTGAACCATTCCAAGTCTTTCCACTTGGGATATATACGAAAATCCAATTTGTTGCTTTGTTTAGAAGTACCTTTTCTAGATTTACAAATTCGTTCGTGTTGTCAGGGACGCCGGAACTGGGGGGCAGGAGGGGCAGCCGCCCCCGTTGCCTTTTACCAGGAGGGGCAAGGGGGGCAAAGGTGCCCTTTCAATTTAAAGGATTGCCTTGGCGAAATAGCGAATTGTCAGAAATGTTAGTGCAATTCTTTTACGAATTTGCTACAGAAAACGCAAGAAATGCAGTCATCGAGCTTCAAGAATAGCACAATCGCCGGGCGGAGAACCCTCTCACACCCCTATCATCCAATAAATAGAAAACATGATTAGGCGAAGTTCAACTCCCGATGTTTTGCAAACATCTCTCAGTATATATCAATTCAAAAGTGCCTTTTCACGAAAATCTGCCCCCTTTGCCTTCACATCGTTCCGGCGTCCCTGCGTGTTGTTGTAAGAAATTGTGACTTCTTGTCCAATAATTATTCCCATTTAATTTCCCACGACTTATTCTCGGTTTTCTTGCTGTTCTTGTAACACGAGTTGGAATGGTTGATAATTTCGCATATCACTGTTTTTGGCGCTCTTTATTATGCGTGGGTAGACTTATTAAATGTTCGTTACTAGTGTGAACATTGTTGTTTAGTGAGGTATTGTCCTGTGAGTTCGTATATCGAATGCTGCTCACTTGCATACTAACTCTGTTATTGTGCTTGTGTTATGTCTACTATTATTTTCATCACTGGGGCTACGTGGATGGTTGTACTATTATTAATGGCAATGCATTTGTTGTCTTCGTAGTTAATATTAGGTGATCTCCCGCCTAAAAGGCACAATCCCTTCAATTGTATTCCTATTGCCACGATTAACAGCCCCTATCAATTATTCCTCAACCTCTGTAATTACACCAAATTCTGACGTAGGTCATTTCTCGAGGAAGATTACTCCTAACACTATGACTATGACCAAACATATTACTCAAAATCCTAATTCCTATATCCCAGTTATTCTATCAGCAAATGTGAGAGCAATAGCAATTAAAATAGATGAGATCCAGCAAATTGCGGAACTTAACTCTGTTGGCATAATTATATTTGCATAACTGAGACCTCGGGTTGTCTACAAACATCCCAGACTCCAATGTATCTACCCCAGGTTATAATCTTTTTCTCCAAGACCGTGCTCATACCACTGGTGGTGGTGTATGTGTTCATTTAGATGACAAGATACCATGCAAATTATTAAATTCCTGCGTTGAAGATGACGTTGAATCAATTTGGCTGTCAATGAGACCGTATGTCAGACTACCGAGACAGATCACATCAATCATATGTAAGAGTTACAAACCGAGTAGGAGGTTTATAACTGATATATTGACCCGAGGACGCGTAGCGTCCGAGGGGCAATATATTAGTTATAAACCGACTTACTCGGTAGTGGTTTATATCACACTTGCGGAGGCTTTCCAACATATTTTGTCATTTTCAAAAATTTTTAATGAAAAATTCTCGCGTTTTGTCTACAAGTTTAATCCAATCATTTATTCAAGGTCTATAAGCTAGTTATAAACCTCGGACGAACAAAGAAAACCGACGCAAGTGTGATATAATGAGTGTTATATACCACCCACCAAATAGCCAGAGGAATGAAATTATCGTAAAACATCACGTCCAGAAAAATTTGGATGCTATTTTATCTGAACAACACAATGCCCTTATAATAATAACTGGTAATTTCAATCCCATTTCCACCGGTCTCCAGTCAAAAGAAATAGCTCTACCAAATCACTTGAAACAACTCGTGAAATTTAAAACGAGGGATTCCGGTGTCCCAGGATTTTCGCCCCCCCCCTACATTTTCGCCCCCCGGGGGCGAAATTCCTAGGAATATCGCCCCCCAGGGGGGCGAAAATCCTAGGATTTTCGCCCCCCTTTAGGAAATTCGCCCCCCTTTAGAAACTTCACCTTTTCTTTAGGATTGTCGTCCTCCGTTCAAAATTTCGCCCTTCCTAACAGTTAAGAGATAATTTATTTGCCACGGATATCAGTTATATACAAGTTATTTTATGATAATAATATAGTTAATTTTTAAATAATCAATATGTATACACCATAAAGTAGATATTGGTGGCAAGGAGGCATCCGGAAACCATAGGGCTTGTAAATAGGATGTCTCCTTGTAGCAGTAGTAACAGAAAATATAGATCAGAAAAATGATTAGTTAGGTGAGGTCAAGAAAAACGTAATTAGGCATCTAGCAAGTATTTCAAAATTCTATTCCTGAAGCAATTGATAGTCTGTGCACTTTTGACGGACTCTGGGAGAGAATTCCACAATTTGGGTCCTTGAAATAGGATGGTGAACTGCATTACATTTGTTCTACATGCATGAGCTCGGTATGAACTCGCATTTCTGGTATTGTAATCATGGATTTCATTGTTGGTAATAAACAGATTGAGAAAAGAAGGTGGTAATAGCTGATTGTGGTAAGAAAACATGAATTTACCAATATGGAAGGAATTAAGCTGATATATATATTGAGTATTTTTAATTTACTAAATAGTGGAGCAGTATGCGCCCGGTAATTAGAATTAGTCAGTACTCTAACAATTCGTTTCTGTAATAGAAATATGCGACTTAAATTGGAAACATAGGTGGAGGACCAAGCAGTGTTACAATAGGTAAGGTATGGGTAGATTAACGTGTAGTACAATGACAATTTAGTACTAGCTAACAAGTAAAAACGAGCTCGATAAATTATGCCGATAGACTTAGAAATCTTTTTACAGACATGACTAATGTGAGGTTTCCAGGTGAGATTCTCATCCAGAAAACCCCCCAGAAACTTAACCTTTGATTTACGAGTAATACATTTGTCATCGAAAGAGAGAGATATATCATAAGAGACTTTCTTATGCCTGGAATGGAAAATAACATAGTCTGTTTTGTCAATATTAACAGAGAGTTTATTCGCTCTCATCCAAGAACCGATGCTTTGTAATGCTTCGTTTAACACTGCAGCTAGTACCACTGGGTCAGAGTGAGAGTAACAGATGCTGGTATCATCCGCAAATAGCAAAGGTTCAACTATACGGGAGGCATTCGGAAGGTCATTTATATATAAAATAAAAAGGAGAGGGCCTAAAATTGAACCTTGAGGCACACCACATTGGGTAATTAACTGACTAGAAGTAACGTTGTTGTACTGAACAAATTGTTTACGGTTGTGAAAATAACTTTTGATCCAATTTAGCGCGACTCCGCATATGCCATAGTTTTCGAGCTTGGAAAAAAGTATATCGTGATTTAGTGTGTCAAACGCTTTCGACAAGTCTAGAAATACACCAATAGAAATTTTGTTTTGATCGATTCCAGTTGCTATTTTATTTACTAAATGTGTGAGGGCATGATTAGTTGAATGTTTGGTACGAAAACCAAACTGAAAAGAATACAAAATTTCAAATCTTTCTATAAAATTAAGCAAACGATTATACATAATATAACCTTTTCATAAATTTTAGAG